GGATAAATCAACGCCTAATACGCGTTACAGGTTAGTCTTTGACCGTAAAAAGGACAAAAATCCACGTATTTAACATCGTAGCAGGTTGTTATTAATACCGCCAAAATCTGTGCCTTACACGCACGGGGAATTTTATCCCAAATCCTAAGTAAGGATAAGCCTATGTATAATACGCGTTGCCGGTTAGTCTTTTACCGCGAAAAAGACACCAAAATCCATGACTCACATGCATGAGAGACTTTATCTCGATCCCTAATTAGAGATAAGTCTACGCCTAACACGCGTCGCCGGTTAATCTTTTTCCGCAAAAACGATAAAATCTATGTATTCAAAATCATAGCACTAAATCTAAGAGAGTTCATTCTTTTAGCATAACGTTACATGTGAAACGGACTTAGATAATCCACATGCTAGCCCGACTCAAACGATAGTCGGTAAAGGCTTATCAAATCCGTTGATGACTAAGCGTTTGTCAAAAATCCTACGCATGTTTGCAGGTTCATCAGCTTAATGGACGCGAGCCGAGACTTTATCTCGATCCCTAATTAGAGATAAGTCTACGCCTAACACGCGTCGCCGGTTAATCTTTTTCCGCAAAAACGATAAAATCTATGTATTCAAAATCATAGCACTAAATCTAAGAGAGTTCATTCTTTTAGCATAACGTTACATGTGAAACGGACTTAGATAATCCACATGCTAGCCCGACTCAAACGATAGTCGGTAAAGGCTTATCAAATCCGTTGATGACTAAGCGTTTGTCAAAAATCCTACGCATGTTTGCAGGTTCATCAGCTTAATGGACGCGAGCCGAGACTTAAAACAGATGAGCTAAAAAAAAGTCTTAAAGACTTAGTCAAAAATGCATGAAAGTCACCGCCGCGTCTCAAGTTCAAAACGCAAGGGTCCACCCCCGCATTCCAGAAGCAGGATTATGACGCATACATTCGCACAGGTCCTGCGTGGCAAATCCCTTCAACCAAGATGCCTTTGAAGTGAGTGCAGAGAACGACTCTTTTATGACAATGAATCAATAGCTCCAAGATCAGAGTTGAGATCCAGAGTATTCCGAAAATTTGTCCCAGTCAACCGCGAACTTTCAAAAATTTTGGAGGGGGTTCTGTAGGCTGTCTAAAAATCATAATAGATAGCTGATCTCCCATCAAACACCGATGATAAAAGTTACAATCTGACGACTTTCAGAATGCTATAATTTGAAGACTTTTACGTAGATCGATGAATGTTACAATCTGACGACCTTCATAACTGATGAAAGCTCTAATTCAACAGCCTCCATAATCAACATCGAGAGTTACAATCTGACGACAATCATATTTTTAAGAAACCAAGAGGAAGATTACAAGATGACGGTGTTTGTAACGCTCTAGAAAAAGTGACTACAAATCGATGCTCTCTTCAAATCAAAACGCAGGGTTCATCCTAGCGTTCAAAGTCAAAACGCACGGGTCGGACCTGCGTTGCAACATCAAAACGCACGGATCGAACCAGCGTTATAGCCTCAAAACGCAGAGGTCATCCCTGCATTACACCATCAAAACGCAAAGGTCATCCCTGTGTTATAACATCAAAACGCACGGGTCGAACCAGCATTATAGCCTCAAAACACAGAGGTCATCCCTACATTACACCATCAAAACACAGAGGTCATCCCTATGTTATAACATCAAAACGCAGAGGCCATGGTTGCGTTCCAGACTCAACGCAGAGGCCGTGGCTGCATTTCAGAGTCAAAACGCAGAGTTCGTGGACTCAAAACGAAGAGATCGTGGATTCAAAACGCAGAGTTCATGCAGAGCCTAACTCTGCGTTTCAGAGTTCACAACACTGTACGACCTATGCATTTTTAGCCTAAAACAGGCCCAACTCCGCGTTTTGATGTCTAAAACGCAGAGTTCGGGCCCAGAACGCCCAGATTGGCGTTTTGACTCTTTCAAAACACGAACTGAACGGTTTTAAAACCGTTTTTCCCACGATTTGGGGAGCTGTTTAAGGGGGCGGTTATAACCCATTCAGCCCCACTTAGGAGCGAATTAAGGGGACAATTACATCCCCTTAATCCTCTATAAAAACGAGTAAACTCAACTGAGTTAAGGTTGGAACTTCTTGGCTCGGATTGACCCTGGAGCTTGGTCGCAAAGAGGGGATCTTTGGAGCATTCTCAGATCTAGAGATCGGAAACAGGAGCTTCTTCAATCATCCGATCTGGAAGCATTCTTCAGCAACTGAGATCAAGAAGCTTTCATCATTGGCTTATTAACCGAACTTTCAGTTCAAATAAACTCTTTCATAGAGTTTCAAACTCGTTCAGAGTTATCAACTCATCAAGGATTTTAAACTTGTCAAGCAAGTTCTCCACAGCGTCAAACCGTGAGGAGAAGATACCGTTCCAGTGAATCAAGACGGTCAGATCGTCAACGGAAAGCAAATTCGACGCAGGCACTCGAAGGAATTGCTACCGTGAAGAACCCAATATTAAACAAAGGGGAGGATTCAAATTCATTCTCCTCTCTTTTGTAATCAGTAAATCCAATTGTAATTGAGATTAAAGGAATACAAATCAATTTTCTTTTATTTCTTTTACTACAAATTTTCCCATAAACAGTCTCAATCAAAGAAGCATTTTCAATGAAAGATGCAAGAAAAATTAGTAAGTACTTATAAAATTTCATACTTTAATCTTCAATACAAAATAAAATATAAATTTGTGGAATCAAAAACTAATTAAAAATTACATGCAAATGTTCTTGTAATAGCAACTAACGTGAAGCCAGTGATCAGCTATGTTATGAAACATAACAAACCAAACAATAGGAGGGAAATCACGATAATGGATAAAAGGTATATATGATACTTATTTTGAGTAGCGTAAGAAAAAAATTAAGATTGACATTTTTTCTTTTTCATATACAGTGAATGACTTTGTTTGATGCAACGATAACTCTTATCAGATGCATAGTAAAAGAATTCACTGCAAAGAAAAAGGCGCTAATTCCTAACACTATTTAAGTAATAAATTATAAAATCAGAAAAAATTTCATATATATGAAATTAACCTTTGTACTCATTAAACCATTAAAAAATCAAAGTGCATATTTTCAAAAGTTTGTGCTGAAAATTAGAAAAACATTCAAATTCTGACAAAGTTACATGAAAAGACAAAAGATGAACGAGCCAAAGGAAATATAATTGCACAAGAATTCAGTTGACGTAAACAATACAAACATTACCCTAGAATTGCCAAGGAAAAAATAAATATGGAGAATGATTGATCTTGCCTCAATTAAAATACGAAAAAGAAGGAATAAAGGACAATATATATTTTATACTATAGCTTAATTATTTGAGTAAAATTAGAAAACTTTAGAAGGGAGTTTCAAGCAACTTGCTATAATATTTTTATATGCTTATGTAAATGCTTTTATCATATAAAATTATACTAAAGTTACCATTCATCTTCACTTTGTCTTTTTTAAGCTTATCAATAATTAAGATCTTTTGCATTCTGGAGGAAAATATGTGTCTTGTGCTGAGCTTCTACGAATCATCTTACTATTTAATATTTTTTCCTTTTACAATAAAATTTGTCCTCAAGTCAATCTCTTTTTGTAGAAATTTATCAATATTTTTTATCCATCAATAACAGATTATTACATTTTTCTTCATAGTTAACATTGCATTTAATATCTAAAATAAACAAATCGGAGATCGATGATCTGATAAATAAATATATTAGATGAAGTTTGATCCGTACAAATTGAAAAAAGTGATATTGTGTATCTAATTATATAAAAGTACATTGATCATAGTTTAACACACAAATCCATTTCATCAAAATTTTTAAAATATTTAAAAATATTATAACAAATATAATAATCTAGGTTTACATATTTGGACTCAAAATGAATATGACTGATTTATAATAAGAAAATAAAGCAAAATAAATAAATAATTTTGATGGTTAACCACGTGCATTGCATGTGCATAAAAACTAGTATATATAAACACATGGGTATGCTTGGTAGGAAGCACCAAATTTGGTGCTTAGTAGTGATGTGTCCACTTCTCCACTCAATTAATGGGTGGGTAAGCAAGTGTGGACCATTTAAATGGGTAACTTGAAATGAGTGGATGAGAAGCATCCCCATCACCACCACGCAACAATGTATTCTTGGTACCCAGCATACCCATTATTCTCTATATGTGTGTATGAGGAGGTGGAACATTTTGTAAAATGAGCTATCAAGAGATAAACAGGTAATGAGGCCGACTTTAGTTATCACATCAAAAGTTGTGGCCTCGCTACTTATTCTCTTAGTAGCTCATTTTGCTAAATGAGCCACCACCTCACAACCATCAAACTCATATATATGTGTGCGCACGCGCGTCTACACACACATACATACATACAATTTCTATCATGATTCCAAGAGAAATTTATATAAAATACTTCAAAGACAGAAGTTCTTGAAGGCCTCACCTATATAACATTGCTGAAAACTAATTCCTCCAATTGCTTTTCTACAACTTACTACATCTTATAAATATTGCTGTCTTACGCTCCATATCAATTCAATAAAGGAACTACTCTAAAAGTTTCATGACAATATTAGAAAAAACACCAAGATCTTCTCAAAAGAGTCGTAAATATAATGTCATTTCAGCATTTATCTACTACCTGTCCAGTGTGATTCATGTGTTTGGTAGCATCTTTTTACCTAGATTTTCAGGAATTTTTAAGTAGCTCCATAAATAAGCATTCTACATGCAAGCTTACATAGACCAACTATTGAGATATATATAACAGACTGTACATGAAATGTAAAAATTAATAATATCTTACAGCTAAAGAAGAAAAGCAATCTTGGAAATATATTATAGAATGATCCTGTTTGCATAACCATCGGTGCAGTAACTAAGGTAATATATATAAAGATCCCAGACTAATAATAGAGGTAAAAGCGAAAATCCAATATGCTAACCCTTTTATAGAAAAATGTGTTGAAGAAATGGCAGTTCAGAAACTTTTTTGGTTCTCTTCTCTCCCTTTCCTTCAGTAATTCCAGATACAAATTTATAACCTACAAACAGGCAAAAAGGTATAGAATGTATCACTCAGACATAAGGTACCCAACCTTTGTATGTAATACACAATGAGATTTGTAGAATTAGAAAAGGAGTGATTAGTAGAATTAGGAAAGTAGACAATAAGTCACCTCATCGTTTAACCAAGCACCGTCAATTAGGCATTGCAAGACCTCTCTTGTAATCTCAATATTAGACGCCTTGTGTGTGACTAGGAGCTCACGCCTGTAGAAAAAGACAGCCAAATATGATACTTAACAGTGTTCCAGTACTGTTATTATAGTATTTGTCATATTATTACATGCATGCACATGCACAAGCAGTACGCAATGCATGCAAACACAAAAGGTAAATATAGGAGATACAACACCTATGCACATACCTATTGCCACTGCAAAAAGCATGTGAGACCTCCGCAATTTCTTCATCTGTAAGAGGGCTAAAAAGTCCATGCGGATCCTGGAAATATGTACAGATTATAATAGATATCAGCACATAGATAACAAATACAAACACAAAAATTGACAGTAAGAGAATTTAAGTTTGAAGAGCTAGCAAATAAAGGAGATATTGACTAAAGTCAGTTACATGTACAACTCAGCAGACAGAAAAAGAAGAACTAGAGCACTAAAGTTTGTGTTGTCAAAGAAAGAGAAGTGAATTCTAGCAATGAACAAAGTATGCTGACATCATCTTTTATTTGTTAAAGCTCGTTGGTCCTCAAGAACACACATCTTACGCCTCCCAGGTGCTGAAACAATGATTAAAAGATCTTAATGCACAGTTCACGAATATGTTATGCCAGAACTGAACTATCTGACAAATCACAGGTTTAAAATGCTCCATATAAAACTATTAAGCTGTAATTAGCACTCCGCTACTCTTAAAGAAAGACACCAGTTCTGTTATCAGAAGAGTCAAACTGTGTGAACGATAAATACTAGCTCCTGCGTCTGCTAGCTGGCTGTAGCTCTTCATGACATCTTCCAGAGAAAGCTTCGTAGCCAAGTAATTGATACAAATGATAACCAATGACTATGATGGACAAAAAGGAGGAAACAATAAGATCAGAAGTAGTTAAGTAATCTCTATATTGTGTATTTACAAAAATGTAGAAATATATTTTTCTACATCTTTGCAAGTGAATACTTAGATTCCACTGGCCAACGACTAAAAAGAAGCTAATTCGGATAGGTCAATTCAACTGCTTGCAATTCATACATCCTACATTTTTTTCATTGTGTAGTGGCAGGTCATGGTTTCAAGCGTCATCCATTATTAAAAGTGTTCATCTGATTGGATATGTGAAAGTACACTGTTCATAAAAAGAAATGCGTAGTTCTGAAGTCAATGAGAGGACCCAAGAATTTTACTATTTCAAATATTCTAGGCCTTGACACATCATAGCAATTGGCAAATTAAATGTGCAGACAAACCAACAATGCTTTGTCCTTAAAGTTCATGTAAATGCATAAGATATATTACCCCTCTTTTACCCTACAACCAATGATCCCACATATGACTACATATTTCATAGCCGCTTACAGTATATGGAAAACACAAACTGATACCAGCTATGCCATGTTAGCAAATTAAAACTCTATAGTTCCTAATTAAGCACAAGCAACAAATGCCAAATGCAGCAATCCGAAAGAGGAATTATGAGATGCAACCGATGATTCATTGTAATAAACCAAACGGTCCACTATTTATTTATAGCTACAAAAGTAATAATAGCATGGCACTTTGAGTTCAATATGAACAAACTAGTATTGTTTTTCCTAACATGAGATTTTGTATCGAGATAGTAGTATGAAACGAAGGTTATTTCCGATTTGATCTTACAGGTCGGGAGTATGTTTTAGCGTCACAAACCATTTTTCGTACAATTTATTCATTCTAAAACTAGCTCCTATCCCTATATATACACCAACAGAAGTATTACTGTCACAAATGCAAAAATTCAATAACTATACCCAAAAGTTTTTTTTTTTTAAGTTTACCTCTTTGGCTTTCTCTTGCACCCTACAGCCCTGGATCGCCGAAAGCTTCTCCTCAGTCAATTTCGCCTCAAATCCCAAATCACTCAATCTGCGATCTCGTTTCCTCGCCTGTTCATACAATTTCTTGTAAATTGGCCTTCTTCTCTCCCGATATTTATCCTCTCTCGCCTCAACACTCTCCTCCACAACCCTCCTCGCATTCACCACCTTCCTGTTCAAAACCTTCACTTCCTCTGAATCCGATGACGGTGGCGAAATCTCTTGCACAGACCCTAACCCTAACTTCGACCCAAAGTCTCTCTCTACCTTCTTATAACCTGAATCCTCCACTACATTCCTGTAGTTCTCCAATCCAAAACCCTCTTCCTTCTTCGATTTGAATAACTTCGAGCCAAAATTCCCCATCCGAAACAAACTGCGCTTTACGAGACTTGTTCTGTTGCTCGATCCGAGGTTGAAGACTCTGAGGGTTCGCTGCGGCCCGTGAATTTGGCGGGAAAGCGGCGCCGGCGGAGGAAAAGAGACGGGTTTTTGGTTGAGAGCGGGGAGTTGAGGCTGAAGCTTGAGTTTTTTCGAAGGGGGAGTGATTGGATGGGGGGATTGAGGGAGGTAGAGATCGAAGCAGCGCTTCCGGCTCTCGGTTAAAGCACCCATGTTGATGTCGGCGATGGGGACTCCATTAATGGGTTAGAGAATCCATGGAATTAGGGTTTTTTTGGCGGAGATTTCGGAACCGGGGGAAAAATTTTATGGTTTTTGAAGCGAGAGGATTTTGCTTAAGGTTCGTTTCTTTTGAGCTTGGGTTTTGTTTTCGGTCAAGTGAACGGGAGAGAAGGGAAAGTTAGTTGAAGGAGGGGCAGGAATGTAAATATTGGGTGAATATGGTGGTGATCCCAACAGTAGAAGCACAATGTTTTTCTCTTTTTTTTAGGGCTTATTTTCATTTTGGTACCCACAAGGTTTGCATAATTGATATCACAAAGTTCTTTATTGATGCTTTGTCATGCGGTTTATGCCAAAGTTTTAATCTCGTTTTCACTTTCATATTATGTCCAGATCTTCGCGTTTCAATCTCGTTTTCACTTTCATATTGCATGCTTAGCACGTGATACATTATGTTAATTATACACCTCTTGATAAAAAAATTAGTTACCATATATATTTGTGAGTATCGTATTTTTTTTTACCATGTGGCACGTGATACATTTAGTTACTGATAATTAGAGCAGTATCATCAACCTAAATGCATTAGTTTAAACAGACAGTTGTAATGAAATATGTGGGAAAATTTAAGTGAAATGGAGTAACGAAAATTTTGGAATATCATAGTGTTAAAAAAACAGGCATCAAAGTTAAATAAAATTAGTAAAGCCGTTCTGTTTGGTCCAGAAGTTTTTTTTACTACTCCTAGAGGTTCATTTTCTAGCTTTTTACAACCATCCTAGTACTATTTTGATTCAGTCTAATTGACTAGCAGCTATGAAGCACGGACATACATAACATGAAGCCGTGTCGTGTCGTGTCCGTGTCGGACACACGTGTCGAACACACGTATCCTATGTATTTTTTAGGATTTGCCTCGTGTCGACGTGTCGGATGACCGTATCGGATCCGTGTCCGTGCTACATAGACTAGCAGTTCAAAAATTCATCCTAACTTTAAGACATCACAAGATTTTATTCCACAAACTATCTCCTGTTTTGAGAAGAAACTCTCCTCGTCTCCATACTCCGGGTTCAAATACCAATACTCTTATTTTTTTTTCTTTTTCCCTTGAAGTTTTATTCGGCTTAGGAATGCACTAAAATGTCTGACATTGTGTATACCAATAATCATATGCCTTCGTAATTTATGAATAGGAAATATTGGCGCAGGTTACACGAGCATTTAGCTCATGACATGGAAAATGAAACTTCACTCCGTACTTTCGCCAAAGAGGCAAAGAGAACAGAGAAAAGAAAAAGGAAAATAAAAAAAGAACACGTTTACTTGATAACAAAATTTGAACTAGTAAATATTTCTTTAACAATTACTGCTGTTCGTGAAATTACTGAGGAACTCTTCCTCTCAAAAATCAAGAAGTGTACATTTACACTCTGCAGTATTCTACTGCGCGCGTCTATTCAATGAACTAGCCCTCTAGAGCGCATCCTTCATGTTTATTGCGATGAACGCTTTTGGTGGAAACCATAAAATTAAACTTTCATTTGTAGCTCCATCAATCTCAAGCTTCTGCGGAAGTAAATACAGCTAAGTCTGCTTGTTGACGGATACAGGCATCTCAGACCACCAAAATCTCAAGCCTTCTCCATGAGAATTAATCGCTTAAAGATCAGCTGATCGATTAGCGTATTCTTGAACCAATGCTCCAAATAGCGACGGCCTTTCAATCAAGTTGGATGGTTTATCGAATTCTTTAGCCGTTCCTGCTCAGAGAAATGGAGGGAAAAAATTCATCACACTGGCCAAATTTTTTCTTATATGAAGAAGTCGGAATCAGAATCTTTCTTTTCTTATAAACTCGAAAAACTTAGTTTACAAGATTCAAGAAAAGAACTTTTTTTTTTTTTGTCTTTTTGGAGTGTTATGTCACAAATTTGTTGTCCATCTATAGTGGAAATTCGGATACATGGTAAAGGGTTAATTTCACAAAACTGTCCCTTAGGATTGTCCATTTTTTACATAACCTCCCTATATTTTCTAAATGTAACTAACCCCCTTGAGTTTTTTTTTCAGATAATAAACCCTTTATCTGACACCGTTAGATCTGATGCATACGTTAAAATCACTTGCATTCAGCTAACTAAGTTGCCTCCTTTCATGTCCTTTTTAATTCTTTTAACCCCGAAACCCCCTTTTGGTTTTTTTTTTTACTGGTTACAGATGAGATTATTTTGCAGGAATGTTTTTGGTTTTAGGTAACTTATTTTTACGTGCGGGGGATATTTTTGTTGGGGGTATTTTGGCCCAATCAAAAAGAAGGCTAACACCACAAATTTAAAAAAATGTTTTGGGAGTTTATGTGAGAAGCCCAAAAGCAAAAGGGGGGGCTAGGTGCATTTATAAGTTTTAGAGGTGTTTATCTCAAAAAGGGCCAAACTAAGAGGTCTCGTGAAATTTGTGCAAATTTGCCCAATCTTGATGGAATTATTAGCAATAAAAAAACTCGGTCGTAAAATAAACAGAGTTAAGTTAAGTTGAGACATAAAAATACCTGCATCGATGACCAAAACTCTATCACAATCCATAACGGTGGGTATCCTATGAGCAATGCTGATAATTGTACAGGCCGAGAAGTCTTCTCGGATGATTCTTTGAATGATTCCGTCGGTCTGTGAATCCACTGAAGCAGTCGCTTCATCCATGAATAAAATTCTGCTACGCTTCAGCATCACCCGGCCCAAACACAGTAGCTGCCTTTGTCCCACGCTCCAATTTTCGCCATTATCAACCACTGTGGAATGGAATATAGCACAGTATAAGACAAGACGAGACCACTACAATTCAGATTTTAGGGAAATGAATGATATAGTTTTCTAAATTCTCACTATAATCCACTAGAGAAAAAAAAAACACACGAGAATCATGCTCTTGGGATATTCAACTTTTGAAGAATTTATAATGCAAGGAAACATATTGTTCGTGTTGCAGACTATGTTGCAACAATATCAGCTTACATTCAGAGCAAGGTTAAAGTCAGAGGTTTCTTTTGTGAGAAAAATCCTTCAAACAGAACAGTTATGATATGAGAGTAGATCAATAGTATTACCCAGAGCGTCGAGCTTTTCAGGTTTTGAAGCAACTGCATCTTTAAGCTGGCAACGTTCCAAGCCCTACGACAAGAGAAATTGCAGGAAATATGATCAGATTCTTTGATATTTTACTCCTATCAAGAGAAAAGGAAGAAGAGATTCATAATAGAAAACTTCATGAGGCAATTGTTGCTATTCACGATTGAACGGTTTGAGAGATTGCAGGAAGGCTTTTGACACCAACAACATAACAAAGGTGAAAAAATAATCGTTTTAGTGGCAGATACACCCTTGTATTATGATGATCTAACCAAGCATATCGCCTAAATAACATCCCCTAAATCTCAGATGGCGTTACTTTTCTGCCCTCGATTTGAAGGGCAAACTTTTTTTTTCCAGTTAAAATGAAAGCGAAAGTTAGTTTATTATTCCCATGCGGCATTTCAACCTGACATGGGAAATAATATGTCTTAGATTTCAGGGGTTCAGGGATACAAGTGGCTACACAGTACACCCTCATAGGTTCTGAGGTGTATGTGCAATTAACCCAAAATTGTATAAAAGTTCAAGATTCTCATACCATCCATATTTCATCATCTGAATACTGTCCGGTTGGATCAATATTGCTTCTGACCGTTCCTTCAAAGAGAACAGGCTCTTGAGGTATAATGCCAAAGCGCGACCTTAGATCGTGAAGCCCCAAGGTACAAATGTCTACTCCATCAATAATTATCTTCCCTGCGGAAGGTTCTACAATTCTGAATAACACCTGTATCAATGTTGATTTGCCGCTTCCAGTTCGACCAACTATTCCTATCTTTTCACCTCCTTTGATGCTAATTGTAATGCCATTGAGAACTAGGGGAGTATTTGGTCGGTATCTGACCTGTTGAAACCAGCACAAAACATTAAGTTAGCAAAATTTTGAGTCAACAATATAGCGTAATAACGATAAATAAACAGCGAGGAATTGGACTTGACATAGATATAGAGGGAAAAAAGAAACTTCACAGTACTCATCTAAGTTTTAGGATAAATTCAGATAACCCTCATTTATACCTTGGAGTTGCACATACCAGCTCTCAACCATTTTACTAACACCTAACACTCCTAGATTCGCATTTTGATAGAGATAAAATTACAGATAACCCCCTTCTCCTTTATGAATCTAATGGGTGTTTAAGTGCTAGCAAAATAGTTGAGGGATGACAAGTGTGACTCAAGGTATAAGCGAGGAGGTTTATCTGCAGTTCGCCCTAAATTTTAATAGGCACAAGACAAAGAGCCAGCCCCTTTATTTTGGTTGGTTTTCAATAGGATCTCTAATAATCAAAACAACTTGTATTCTTGAAATTTCAGGTAGCTGTTCTAAAATTGAAGTGATAACCATCTAGTTTCCTTTCAATTTTGATAAACATGTGCCAAGTTCATACAGGAAAATGGCATGGCTGCATACGGCACACAACATAAAGAGATTTAGGAGTTTTGAGTAGCTGGATAGTACCTTAAGATCTTGCACATCAATATTTCCATGAGTGGGCCAATTTGGTGAAGGCAAACAGTCTTTGATCTCCCATGCAGCTTCTGTTGGAATGTTAGTGAATTGTTTTATCCTTTCAGCTGAGACCATCCTATTCTCTACAAAGCAACTCATCCACACCGCAAAGAACAATACGGAGTTGAGGGAGAGGCCATAGGAAAGAGACAGACCGACAAGCTCTGAAGAAACAAAGGCCAAGATGTATTAGCTTCTATACAACTATACAAGATTGCATCAAAAGTAACACATTTACAAGCATATTTGTGCTTGTTTGTGTCTGCATGTCTGTATCTTGTTTCATCAGCCAACTATAACACTTGAAATTAAATATAAAGCAGTTCGACATTCTCAGAGAAGAACTATAAACAAGCAAGTTGAAGACTAAGATATTTTCTTCTTAGATTTCCATCAACTTACCAACAATAAGATTTTAAGGAAACTATGCCCTTCACATTTTGCTTCAAAAAAAAGGAAAATATGCTAGAAAATGAATTTCTAGGAGGTGAGGTCAAACATTATTAACCGTAGACATGTCCACGATGTTATCAAATTAACTATTTTTGCACCCAGGAATTTTAAATTCTAAAATTTTCTATTAGTTTTGAGATACCAGATTTATCATTGGAAAACTTCTCAAATCATGTGTCTTCTTTTTCAGAAATTTATTTCTCAATATATATTAATAGAAAGCACCGTTGGTAATTAAAAACATATATACCTGGCTTAATAAAATTACTGGGCAGCATGACCATTAACAAAGCAGAGATGCAGAGGACGAAAGCCCCAATTAACTCTAGCCGAAATCCAAGCCATTCATTTGCACCGTTGTTGTGGAAATCCATGGTTAAGCTTGCATTAACCCTCTTTACATTTTCTTCAGAGAATCTTTGCTCTTTTCTGAAGCATCTGATTGTCATGACACCAAGAATTGTTTCTGAGAAGTGATGGATAACAGGCGCTTTAGTTATAGATTCAAGACGAGTTAGCTCCCGCGACGTTGAAAGGTAGTAACCCTGGAGAAAAAAATTCAGGAAGGGTTACAAGTGACCAAATTTCACTCCAATTCTAATTTAAATATGAAACATAGAGGGGATTCAACAAAAGCATATGCATAAGTTTAAAAGACAAAACAAATCTTGAGATGAGTTGAAGAAAAAACTTACCCTATACCAGATGTTCAGCCATGCCAATGGAATTATGGCTATGATAGATGGCCATGCAACCTGACAGGTAACGATGATAATGCTAAGCACTGTGATATACATCGAAACGGTTAATGCCACAAAGAAGGGAAGAAAAAGATCAACATTCGTCTGATCTGATGATGCCTGAAAGATAAAAGAAAAAGAAACTACAGATATTAGTGAGAATTGAGCTGATAATACCTAAAAATTACCAAAACTTTTAACAAAATTAAAAAAAATTCATGAAAGGGAAGTTCACTTCGCACGCCTAAGATGCAGTTTTCACTTAGGAAATTGGGCAAATTATTGGCATCCAGCATTACAAACATAATAACATTGTTTATGATTGTCAAGAAAAGGGATTAAATATTACCCGACTAAGAATTCTTCCAGAAGGTGTAGTATCAAAGAAAGACATTGGCGCATGCAAGAGACTGTTGAGAATCTGTTTGAAAAAGCTTTGAGCAGTTTTTAGCCCCAAGAATACCACAAGAATGGACCTTGTGGTCACAAGTACGATTGAAACTGCAGCTATAATGGCATAGACTTTAATAAATAAAGAGGGGTTGAAAGTGGTATCTTCAGAAGTTTCATAAGCCAACCAATAATCACTGGCCATAAGTGAACCCTGCCACGCGATTGCAACAGCGACGACCGCTATGACTCCCCACCATCCCCAAGCCTCAGTTATGTACATCTTGTACACCTTCCAGCTGACATGACCGGTCTCTCTTTCTTCCTCCTTTATGAGCTTTGATGAGCCTTTTTCAGACTTGCCGGAGTTTGTGGATCCTTCGTCCTTACTAGATGGTGAGTAATTTGCAATGGGTTGATCCGATGGTTTAGAGAGTGGAATGCTGGGTTCTTGAGGGTGTGAACCTTGTTCTACGAGCTCCATGGAACTGTCATGAGCAGCAACAAGTGCTGCAAAGTCTGTACCGGAACCAAGTAACTCATTGTACTTTCCAGATTGCACAATCTGCCCATCTCTCATTACCTGTTTTGCAAATTATTATTGGGGGAGAAAAGAGAAATCAGTTTTTTCACATGAAATCAGTGCATACTGCACATCAATATTAAATATGTCCACTGTTTTATTTCAAATAACCGAATATTGAGGACATATATTTCACCACCATGATAGACAAACCTAAGAACAAAACATTTGACAGATTCCTTAAGATGAGGAATCTGTCAAATGTTTTGTTTCTTCCAAACCTGTGGTATATATGGAACTAATGACTACGTTATAAACTTCTGGTATTCTCAATGGTAAAACGCTGTGGAAGTTATAGAAGCAAGCCAAATAGCAGCATAGTGGATATATACTACTTACCAAGATGAGATCAGCGTTATGCAAGAAGTCAACCTGGTGGGTTACAAGTACAACTGTCTTCTCTCTGAGTGCACCCCTCACACATTCCTGCAGCAGTTTCATCACGACTGTCATCATTAATGATAATAAACAATACGATTTCCATTTTTAGTATTTTACTTAATTCTTATACAAATAAAATTGAAATCAGATTTAGCAGTTAACAAGTGCTTACATAAATAATGAAAAGTAGAAGATCACCTTGAAGATTTCAGAGCCAGTGTGAGCATCAACAGCACTGAAGACATCATCAAGAAGGTAGATATCACAATCTTGATACACAGCCCTTGCGAGCTGTATGCGCTGCTTTTGGCCACCACTGAGATTGATACCTCTTTCTCCAATCTCAGTCTGGTCACCAAACTCCATAATTTCCATGTCTTTCTCCAAGCAACACACACGGATAACCTCATTGTATTTCTCACGATCCATGGGAAGTCCAAACAGGATGTTTTCTTGAATGGTACCATTTTGAATCCATGATGTTTGTGCCACGTAAGCAGTGGTTCCACAAACCCTGGCCTGAAAAAGGACAATGTTTAAATTTCTTAATAGACCAAATAAAAAAAACTTTGGTTCATCAGGAAGCTTCATGTGCATGAAATGTCATTACATGCATTAATACAGTCATTACATGCATTAATACATGCAAAGCATAGTAAATTCCAGGAGCAAGTAAAAGAACCCAAAAGTGACCAGCTACAAATTACAACTTTTGCTTCCCCCTTCCCATTTCATGCACAAAATCACAAACATAATATTGAAACTCATTTTTCAAAATCAGCTTTTAATTCTTCCCTAACTTCACTCAGTTTGTAAAGTGGGGAACAAGTGTCAAACCAATGTCAGCTTTCTGGCAGCTTTCCCCCCAAAATCAAAGGTGACTTTGTGGGAAAGATGCCAAAAAGCTAACATTTTTGACAGCTTTCTCCTTTTTTACCACCCAAAAAAAGCAATAGGATTTTAGCGTGAATGGGAGTTGAGACCTGGCCCGTGAACTACTGCACAAAACCTGTGACAGCTGAAGAAAAGCTAAAGTTTACTGACACTCAAAGTTTCAACCAGTCAATTCAAAGCACTAATCTCAAAGCCTATATCTCTAAAAACACAGAAAAGGGAAAAAAAAGTTTCAGCTTTACAGGTGTAGTCCAATCATAAGCTTTTTCTCCGTATCTGGAAAAGATTGCTTTGATAGTTCTGCTGTAGTTTTGGTATAGTTTAGTTATGTTGTTAGGATGAAAGGATGGACTCACTTTACTCTAACCATTTCATAACCAAGTAGATTTCTCTGCTATGTTCTTCCATTTAGTTGAGTATAGAAAATAGTACAACAAATATTACCAAGTATGGGAGTAGTCAGCATTTATAAGTAGACTTTTTATTATATACCACTAAAGCAACCATGTTTGCAAATTAAAACCCCAAATATGTTGTAGGTAATTTGTAAATATCCAGTGATTTGCAGGCTATATACAGGTAAAAACACCCTTATAACTCTTACAGAGAAGTTAGGTCCCTATGGACCAACATTCACTAGCCAACTAAGGAGTTCAAACAAAAGAGAAGATAGTCTAAGGTTAGAAGCTGTAGTTTTCATTGTGTCATATTACTCATATCTATCGAAATTTCGTAACAATACACAACAAAAACTACAGAATTAACTATAATTGTGGTCTTTGCAAATTGGTCAAAAGAAATTCATTGCATCTCCTTAAAACTCATTGTCCGTTGACACTAAAACACAGCGAAAACTGAGAATGTGCGTACTAAATAAGAATTAAAATGTTGTTATCTTTTCCTTAGTGGGCATTCGTATCGACGCCTAACAAATTTAAACTAGGATAAGAATAGAGATCTGGCTATATTCTTTAAAATTTATTTTCATAGAGATCTGACTATATTTCACATTGGAATGATAAAACATTAAAGGATAGAATAGACTTCATGCATGCAGCTGAACTCAAAAAAAATTTATAAAAGATATATAAAAGTAAATTAAAGTATGAAACAGCATTTACCTCGCCGGAAATCTTGTGCATCTCACCAAGCAAGCACGACAACAATGACGACTTCCCCGACCCAACAGTCCCAACCACCGCCGCCAGTGTCCCCTTCTTGATCTCAAGATTCACATCCTTCAACCAAGCCTTATTACCATTCTCCTCTCCCCCGTTCCCGTCCTCGTCATCCTCCCACCCAAAAGCTCCATCCTTAACCTCAATTGCAACTTCATCATCGCCACAATGCTCAGCCCATTGCACGGCGTCATCCTCCAGCTCGCCGCTGGTCATGTAACTGTCGAGCCGTTCTAAGGAGATCATGGCTTGGGAGACGGAGATAAGAGCTTGAGGGAAGTTGCGGAGCGGCTCTTGGAGGATCTTGAAGAAGGATGTGGCAGTGAAGACGAGGCCGGCGTCGAGGCGGACGCCGAGGAGGACGGAGGTGCCGAAGACGAGGGTGGAAATCATTACGGGGGCGCTCCAGAGGACGATTATGTTGCCGGAGATGGAGTACATGAATCTGGGTCACGATTAAATTTGAATTTTAGCGGACAATTCGGCATAAAGAACAGAGAGTCTTAAAAGAACACTACTGCGCGCGGAATCAACAAACCGCCTGATCAGTTATTTGTTATCATAGTTATTATTTTATTTTTTAACGGAAGCTTTTCTATTGTTTAGTGTACAACCATATAGCTCATATTCGACTGAAAAAAGGAATTAATATGATTCATGAAAGGATTATATATGATAATTGATATATATTAAAAAGATGGAAAATGATATAACTAAACTATAATTTCTACGCTACTTTTACACCATGCTGAAGCAAACCAACCCACATCTGCTTCAGTTATTTCGTTCCCACATCTGCTTCCTTCAACGCATGGGGGAAAAAAAGAATAAAAAAAAAACCCAATTACCATACTTTGGTTATAATCCAAAGTGGAGGGGAACGCAGTCGATATCATCGACGATAAAACAAACCAAACCATTTGTTATTCATCAGGTTTGTGAACAATATTTGTATTCTTGCAATTGTTTCTATTGCAAAGAAATAATCTTTTTGTTTTTCGGTAAAGTTGAGAACATCACCGTTCATTGTAGCCTTCTCTCGTTCTTTGCCGCTCAACGAAAGGAAAAAAAAAAAGAAATTAACGAAAAGAAAAAGAGAGAGAAAAAAAAAGATCGAGAAGGAAAAAAAAAATCGGTAATGAAAAAGTTGAACAATAGCTTTCAAATGAAGGCAGCGAATTACTAATGTTTTTTATTAGTTTAAGTTGGAAAATGAGAAAATATGAAGAAGAAGAAGAAGAATATGAGCAGCGTAATTTGTTTCTGAATACAACAGGCAGTTAATAAGGTACATAATTAATAAGGTACGGTTAGCAGCGCCAACTCAGCGTAGCTTAAAATCAGTACTCGTTAAAGATAGCATAATAAATACTGTACAAAAAAATGGCATAATAATTAGATGCTTATGATTGAAGAAATGATCCTTGCACCGTCAACTGGAAAAGGGATTCAAAACTAATATAAAAGATTCGGATCCTGTGCGCTCTTGGATAAAATCTTAAACTTAAACCCCCTAAGGTTTGTTTTCTGGTATTTCGGAAGTTAAGAGAGGTTATCTGAAATTTGTCGGAACCACAAAAAAAATAAAAATAAACTTTAATCAAGATTCAGAAAGGGGGCGCGCGGAAAGAAAAAGAAAAAAAAAAGAGGAAATTACCTGGTGAGCCAGCCAAACTCCTGCTCTCTAAACCCCTTGATCCTCCGATCAAAATGATCCTCCCACGCCTGGAACTTGATCACCCTCATATAATTCAGCATCTCATTCATGGCCTTCATCCTCTTATCCCTCATCGTCATCAGACTGAACTGGTACCTGTTGTTCCTCTTGGTCCCCAGGACCACGAAGACCAGCACCGCGGCGATCCCCACCACGGCCGTGCGTCACGGCGGGCCCCAGGTAGCAGGTTACAGGCAGCGCCGAGCGCCACACGACCTGCAGCGCGCATTCAGCATATGATAGTGTATCTGCGCATCATGTCCGAGAGCTGCTTGGCGTGAAGCTGCGCCCCATGTAGCTTGCAACGATCACTCGCCACGCCTGCCCTGGCGCTTCTCCTCCGCGGCGCCACGACAAGCCGAGAGCCCTTTCCGGTAAGAGCGAGTTATGGGGTGGACCGCGATCAATCATGCCCAGCTTGTGGGAGTGGAAGTTGTACTGGTGGCCGCAGCTGGACCTCGAAGACCTTGGACGCGAGGAGGGCGGCCGCAGAGGGGAGGCCTCGTGGGCCGCTGCGCGGCCCTCGGTGAAGGCAACGAAGCGGGTCGAACTGAGGGTGGGGCGCCACGTACATTGACGGGTGCAAGCGGAGGGAGGGCGACGGGAGCGGTGAGGTGCGAGTGGGCAGAGGCAGCGGAGAGCGCGGAGGGTTGCGGACGGCGGTGCGCGGGCCCGGGCGCCGAGGCGGGCGCAAGTTGGACCGGAACTCTCATCGTACAGCGTCTCGGCGCGGTGGCCCGGGTGAAGAGGGAGGGGACGTCGTCGAGGCGAGAGGCGGACGTTGTAGCCCTTGGTGAGGAGGGGGTTGACCAGTGCCACGGTGCGAGCGACAGGAAGGGACGGCCGTTGCTGTAGCCTGTTTGCGTTGGATGGCTGATCCCGTCCAGGCTCGGTTTTCACCGGCCGTTGCTAGTCCTCGGCTACGACGGCCCGGCCGAGCAGCATTGACGGCAAGAAAGGCGAAGGACTACCGTTAGCCCAGGAGGAGGAAAGGCCGGAGGAGGTAGTCGTCCGCTCTGGGCCGATCGGGTCACCTCCGGTGGTCTAGAGGCACTGAAAGAACGCTGCGCGATCAAAAGCGGTGAGGACGACGCGAATGAGCCAGTATGGTCCGAGAGGGTGAGGCGGGTGAGCGGGGCCGGAACCGCTTTCTGCGTGTCGCTATGAGAGCGGCACGGCGATCACACGAGGAACTGGGCGAACGAGAAGGAAGACTCGCACGAGCGCGCCGCCAGAGGCCCTCGTGCGCGTCGGAGGATTCGTGTGACCGCGCACCACGCCGAGGGTGAAGGACTGGCGAACGGCGGGACGCCGAGAGCGCGAGGGGATGTACTCTAGACAGTAAACGGAAGGTCGAATCGGGACCGATCGACGGGGAGGAGCCGAGGGAGTGGCTTGGCTGGCCTCATCGGTGACGTCACCCGCAGCGGCGGGATAGATTGAGCTATTCGTAGCGCGAAGAGTCGCGGCAGGATCACAAGGAAGATAAGATCGACGGCTGGAGAAGAGGACAGCGTCGAGGGCAGGGAGATAGGGAGATGATACCTGAGCCATTGGGGGGTTCACCGGCATGAGGGGGAGCAGCAGGGAGAGGGGAGGTGAGATAGGAGGGCGCGTCATCGGCCACCGCCCGGCGCGGGTGCGATGTGAGGACTACTGGCGGTGACGGGAACCGAGTTAGATACGAGCGTGTGTGACGCGAGAGAGAGATATATATATATAAAGAGATGGTGGGGGTTGATAAATCGAGGCGAGGGAAGGAGAGAGGTTAGAGCATCTCAATCACTCTCTAAAATCTCTATCCCTTCAAATTTGGAGAGTTAATTCTCTCCCATCACTCTATAATTTTAAAAACCTCTAAATTTATAGATGGTTAACTCTCTAAATTTAGAGAGTAAATCTAGAATTTAGAGAGGTTCTCCAAATCACTATTTAAATTTTTATTATTTATAACTTTGCCATTTTCAGGTATTTAATTTCTTAAAAATTATCGTTTTGCCATCATTCTTAGTCATTTAAATAAGATGTTTAATTTCAAATAAATATAGTTAAAAATTATTAATCTATTTTTCAAAATAATTATATATTTAGAAAGGTCCCGTCGAGATCTTCTAAATGAAACTAAGATTAATTTATTTTAGTATTATTATAAAATTACTTTTTTTAAATTAAATAAATAAGTATCGGACATGAAAATTTAAATACAAGGATCTGTTTAACTTGCCCCGTAAGAAAATACAAGCATAAATTATAATATTTAAATTACATTCCTTTGTTGTCGTGCCTCTATCATAAATGTTCAATTAGCGCGTTACAAAGCATAAAATGAGCTTCTCTTTCTTGAATCTTCCTATGTCGATCAAGGAATCGTTGGAATCGTTCGGCATCATCAATCTCCATCTTTTCATGACTTGAAGATTCGTCGTGAATAATAATCTCTGGTTCCGCATAGCGTTCATCCTCCACAGTCATGTTATGTAGTATAATACAAGCAGTCATTATGTCGTGTAGTCCCCGCTTTCCCGAAGAACGTGATGGTCCCAAGAACGTTGAGGTTTATGTTTTGCGACCTATGATATGTTGTATTAGAGGTTTATATTTGCTTCCTTGTTCTATCGATGTATGCTTTGTCACTATTATTTTAGATTTTATTTTTCTAATATGTTGTATTGCATTATTAATATTGGGTTCATTTTAAAACTCTCATCCACACCTTCCTAATGTTATTATTTTTTCCTAAATAAATTATTAAAAATAAAATTATTGATGCAAACTATATCCAACATTATTAATTTATATGGTTTTTTTGATAAAATAATAAAAAGAAAAATATTTAAAGAATACGGGTTGAAGCAAATCTCCAAATTTCTCTCTCCAAATTAGTTCTAGAATATTCTAATTTGGAAAGTAGGGATGGAGACGCTGTTAGGCTGTGGGAGAGAGATGCTGTGGAAAATGGCTGGGAAGTGAATTTAGGAGCGAAAGGACGAAGGGAGGTGAGAAGATACGGCCGCCATCCTTGACACGTTGTTACTTTTTAGTCGGTACTTTTTGTTGGTTGGTTTGTGACGTGCTAAAACGAAGGGACCATGAGAAATATGGACAATGCTCGCGGGATTTTTCCACTTCTTATTTAGGCATCCGTTTGGTTGATTTCCTATAATCAAACAAAGCAAATAGTGGACGGAAACTATCAAAAAGCTGATTTTCATCCATTTTTTTACTAAAAGAGCCACGAAATGGATTTTCTAAAAAATTAATTGCATCATCCAATAATATTGTGACAATTTATCTCACTATGTCTTCTAGTCAACCAACACAAAGAATCATCAATATACCTATATTGATTCAGTGATATGATCCTCTAATCAAATCAAAGAGGCCGGTAACAAACATCTTTTAGACGATCATCAAGATATGAGATGCCTGATTTTGTGTATTGCATGATTATGATTTGTTTTGAGTGTAATTCATGAGGATATTGTGACTACGAAGAAATCTAGAATTAATACTAAATAAATCAATGGTGATAATAGAACTATTAATATCTCCGTTAATTTTTACACTAGATTTAGATACTAAAATAGCATTGAGAAAAGTAAATTTTGGCAAGGTGTAAATTATGGTTTCGTAGCAATGTGGGATCCGCCTTTTGATCAAGTCAAGGTGGACGAAGGACCTAAATGTAAAACCATGAGGCTCCAACTAAAAATAGTACATTTCATAAAACTCTTCTTAATTTTGTACTGTTTTATTAGAAAATCCCCTTCAACTTTTATTATTTTCCCAAAAAAATCCAAATAGCATGAACCACATTTTTCATATTTTTTTAGAACAATTTTACCTATCTATTTGAAAATGGTTTTTCTATAGAGTGCCCATGGACACTCTATAAGACAGGAGAGAGATAGAGAGAAATGAATTATGCACAGAAATTAATGCAAATCAGGGGTCAGGGGGGTCATGAGCTATTCATTTCTCTCTATCTCTCTCCTGTCTTATAGAGTGTCCATGGGCACTCTATAGAAAAACCGATTTGAAAATAGCTATTAACTCTATGAGACATTTTCCCCACCTCCTCTAGTGTTGCATAGGTTTCCTGAGAACACGAAAAGTTGAGAGCAATTTTTCTGAAATTTACTCATGAATGTCCTCATACTGCAATTTAAGATCGGGACCACAGAACTCGTGATTAATGACATAAGTTGAGCAGCGTATGTTTGGAACCCGTGAATAGTAAATTATATTAAGAATAATGTATTTGATGGTGTTATTAATAATGCGATTACATAATTTTTTTTTAAATGCCTTAAGGACCCAAAAACATGGGATCCTACATGGGACATGTGAGGTGTCGGCTCTCCGTCCCATGATGCACTGTTCATGGGACAGTGCATCATAAGACAAGAAGCCAACAATGTCCCATGTAGGGTTTCATGTTTTTGGGTCCATGTAACACCACTTATTTTTTTTTAAAAAAGCTTTGCTACAGGGACCCAAAACATGGGACCAATAGGGGGGACAAGTGAGGTGTCCCCCTCCTATTGGATAATAAGTTGGCCATCATTAATGATGGTCAACTCATTATCCAATAGGAGGGGGACACCTCACTTGTCCCCTGATGGTCAACTCATTATCCAATAGGAGGGGGACACCTCACTTGTCCCCCCTATTGGTCCCATATTTTGGGTCCTTAAGGAATTTTTCTTTTAGAAATTCGGAATCCACCGCAGTAATTCATAGTAGATACTATATGCGCGGATGTTCCGAGCAATGGTCGATGTTTATCGTACGTCGGAAGTCAAAAAAGCGTAGACTCCGCCTCTCCGCTGCCAGAAACTGGATGAATTTGGGAGGTGACTCACAGCCGCGAGTTATACTTCACAGAGAAAACTGGAAGACAAAAACAAAATGAACGGAAAAAGACAGGGGTTGCTTCTAGATGATCGGTTCCGGGTCCAATTTTATGCGGTTGATTCGAGGTTTACACGTAACAAAATTCCAATCATATAATTTGTTAAGGTGCGGCTGACTCGGTCTTTTATGCAAGGGGCGACGAACCAATTTAATGTTATATGCTTTATGACCGTTCAATTTGATTACAAACTTAAGTACTGAACTAAATCAGGAATCCGTTGAATTATGATATATATATAGATGGAAATAATAGATATAAGATGAATCGCACATTGTTAGTCATATCAA